TCTGTCATTTATCAATGCATAAATGTAATATTATCAAATACAAAAAAAAATGAACCAGAGTACAAATTTACCCTAAACGAGGATTTACACTCCATTTGGATTGTTTCCAAATGCAGCCTTACCATTGGTATGTACCCGGTTTAATAGTGCGCTGCCGACCTACCGAAACATCCCTCAACTATGCGTCCATCGCAACCGAAAGTCCAAATTTGAAGCAGCAGTTGAAACTGCAATGCACCTTCTCTAATATTGCAACTGATCATCAAAATGTAACAATTTACGTAGCATCATATACATAGGTTCTATCCATTGGATTCGCATTGTCTGCTTGATTTAATTAGCAAATACCCCCCAGGTCCCCATGAGGTAAATCATCCACTGTGACCACAGTGGAAGAAACTGGATTTGCTCCTATAAAGAGTGTCTCGCAGTCTCATACCAACCTTACAGTGTTTTCAGCCCTACATTAAAAACACCTCTCATACTTGAGGTTGTCAATTCATGGGAAGAAGATAGGTCTGAGGTGCAGTCTGTGAGGAGCAAATCCGATTTCACAGTGGAATGTAGAAATTCCCATCACATGGCTCTCATCAGTATTTAGCTATCCAAGGTCTAAAGGAATTGTAGAGTTAACACAAAAGACTAGTAAAGGGGGTGGGGATGGGATACCCCCTGTTGTGTAGGCCATGTTCTCAAGGAATGAAAAATAACTTAATTTTTAATATAAAAATTAAATTAAAATAATATATCATCACTATACGACCTTGATTGAACCTTTAAGCAGTTAATCACCCCCTTTTCCCAGGTCAATGCTCATTCCAATGATCTAAACATTTCTTTTTTGATAAATTCCAATTATCTAAACATTGATGATCACACCCTTTTCACATTCTCAAGTATTTTCTCCTCTCTCTCTCTCTCTCATTTGAACTTTTGAAGCAAAACCTAAGAGAGCTTCATCTTCGGGCTGGTTGATCTCACCAACATTGAGTTTATATGGTGTAAGAAAATCTTACCAAGACGATTTCTATTCCTCAATTATATTTGCACCACCAATTCATGTATTGTAAAGTGTACATGTATGAGAATCATTTACTTGGTTGAGCTCATGAAGGTCTACAAAAACTCTATATTCTACAATTATAATAGTTTTATTGTGGTGAAAAATCATTTGAGTTGTTTTGATGAATATCTGAGTAGGTGATAAAAAGATGAAGCATTTATCCAATATTAGTTCAAATATTGATGTTAATAAAAACATAATTGTAGTTTCTAGCTGCAAAGCTTCTAAACCATATTTGTTGTTCTTCTTCTCACAAATTGGTGGCATCTCTGTTTTAATGGCATCTCACATACCTTCTGTTTATTTTTTTGTCAGTTTTTGAGATATGGTAGTTCTTTTTTTTTTCTTTTTTACTAATGGAGGGTTTGCTTTTGCAGTAAGCCAATGGAGAAGCCATTGCCATCTGTCGTAGTAGATTCAATAATTTGAGGTAGTAGATGGTGAGTAAGAAATCTATCCTTGTGTAGTCAGTAGTTTGTGGGTGATTCAGTGGATTAAGGTAGTAGATGGTGAGTAAAATATTTGTATCGTTGTGTGGTGGGTAGTTTGCGTGTGCATTGATATGCATGAATGTGATAGAAGAGAGAGTGAGAGACTGTCACTTTGCTTTTTTAGCATGTAGTGGACATGCAATTCTTTGATTGAGAACTTATTTTTTATAATTTGCGCTATTTTGTACTTTAGATGTTGTTACCTGTATTCATAAAGTCATATGGTTTTGGTAGATAGTGTTGTTTTTATTATGAATCGGACAATATTTGTTGTTACATGATAAATTACACAAATTGAGTTTTGAAGACAAGTGACTTAAAGCTTGAATGAGGGATGGAAGAAAATGAGAATAGATTGAGAAAAAGACACCACAAATAGATTAACACATCATAATCCACCGTGCTGAGATAAAAATGATAACATTGGAGAGACAATGTGCTTGTATCCAACAACTTTGGTTGACTGAACCTTTTTATTCAGTGAGAAATGGAATTCCAAACTAAATCCAGCATCTGATCAATGTTTATTATATGATAAAGCACTGAAAGCTCATCTTAAAGCCCAAAGAGCTTTGGTTGAGACTAATGCCAGATGTACTCTTCTTTATCGGAGAAGAGAGCTGTTTTCAGCTCAACTTCAATCTTTTACGATGGAGGGTTCCAATTCTTTGTGGAGTTCTGGGTTGAATAAATGTACAGAAATTGGATTAAATTCCTCAAATATTGTTCCTGAAGCTAACCTGGACCAATCACCCAGTTTATGCCATCAAGTGCAGGCTGAACTGGAAGCATTGAATCAGTTGGCCGGTGATTCAACTATTCAATGTAGAGATGGTACTGTTTTTAATGCACCTTACCAGCCCATGAGTGGTTTGCTGCATGGGATATTAATTAATTCATTAGATTGAATGAAACAATATTTTGTTTTTACAAATCTTAGTATGTTTGATAGGTTATATCTAATTTCATGTCTTTTAGGAAAAATAAAAGATAAAAAGAACATAAATACTAAAATTATAAACTTCACAATTTTATATTATTTTATTCAGGCTAATTAAAATAATCGAGTGATAGCCCCTGCGAAGCAGGCAGGGCCCCTTGCTACTAAAAAATAGTTATAATATGGATATAGCATCAATTCAATACCTCCCTCCTACGTCCCCTCAAGTATTGTAACTTTTGTTTTTTATTTTTTTCATTTCATCACATTTTATATTTCCGAAACTTAAAATTAGAGAAATAGTAGGAATAGGAGATTCGAGTATTGTTGAATAGAGAAGTTAAGAGAAATGGATTTTAAAGTCCATTATCGATGCCCTACTCTATTTTCTTTCCTCTTAACTTTTTTAAAAGACCAACAAACGTCGATGATTCATTCAGGTCTCATTTTGAAACTGCAGAATTCATTGATGGAGGCTGATTCCTTGAAACCAAACATTTTACTGCGTTTTCTTATTACGAGTTGCTTTACAGGTGAGGGAACTTGGAAGGCTAAATACCGAACCAGAGAAGAATGATTCTCCATTAGCATTTGCCTGAGAAAATAACACAAGTAGAAATTTTGATGAGCAAAATCTTTAAGCCTCTTTTCTCTATAGGCGTTGGATCTGAAAAACATGAAGAGAAGCTTAAAACCGACGACTGTTTATTTATACCCTCTATTCTTAGTTTTCATTCATCAATGACGAACTCGTTCATATGGATCAGCTCTTTGTCATCTCCTTGTTTTGTTAGATTAACGGTACACTCCCATTCTAGGCAGATGGGATTTCCAAATGGGGAAAATGGCCATTTCCAATTCCACCAAAGGCCTGAAATTTCACAAACCTTCATCCAATGTCGGCTGCCAACCACCATCTACGGCTAGGTAAGATGGCAGCTTCATCATCTCCTCTTCTACCCTCAACAACCACAATCTCCTAGGAGGTTAGACCGATCGATCACCAGCCACCGAACAACCCTCCTCTTCTCTCTCCCCACTTCTTTCTCTTCCTCCTCCCCTCTATCATCGTCACCATTGCTAATGCTACCAGCGATATACTTTCTTCTTTTCTACCCTCTTCTACCCCCCCCCNCCCCCCCCCACCCTTTTCTTCTTACCCTCCTTTTTTTTCTTTTTTCTTGGTGAGACGGGAACATTAATGGACAGTGTGCTACTAAAAGAGCATCGATTAGTGTTTGGATGATTGTGACTTGGCCTGTGATGATGGACTTCTTTTGCTGAAACCTCCCCTCAAATTCCTGATGGTCTCTGAAACCTCTCCTTAGTTTGATAATTGCAATTATCTCCCATAAACTTTCTAACACAGTAGTTGCAAGTAAACCCCTCTGTTGGAATCCTCTAACAATAGGCCATGTTACCGGAGTGACTTACCATACCATAAACTTTCTGACACGGGGTGATTGGCATTGCAAATCCCATGTTGTACCTGAGTTGTACCCTTACCATGTGCAAACACCATTTCATGGAAACTAGGCGGCCAAATATTTTGGCCTTTTTAGAGTTCAGTCTACCTCGGAATTCATGAATTAATTTTCCAAATGTATTTGTCCCCCTATAAACAGCATCCCCAGCCACGATTAAGCCAATCATTTCCTTGGCACCAAAATGTGTGTTATTTTGTTAAACCAATTTTTTTTGGTGAAATTGATCCTATGCGATCATGGACCATAAAAGAATTGGTGAAGTTCAAATACAAGTACAGGTGTAAAAAATAACAAAGTTTTTTCAGTAAATAGTAGCAGCACCTTCATCATCTCAGCTAATTAATGTTGTATATAGCAAATAGAAGTGGTTCCTGATCTGTACACACTAACGACACTATACTACGGCAAATAGAAGTGAAACAACAACCCCCAACAATCATATTACTCCAGCAAGACAAACTTGGAAAATGGAATGGAAAAATGGTGCCATAGATATTGAAGAAAAGTCAGCAAGTTGTGCTCCATGGTGATAAGGTAAGACATCATGTATTAATAGCATAAAAGAAGTAATTTCACCAAAAAGATCATGATAAATGTTTGGTTTCATTTTTTCAAAACAATTAAAGTAGATTATGAAAATCAAAATCTAAATTTAAGATTCATCATACTAAATGAATTACTAAACAATGAGCTGCAGTTACAGTACCATATTTCAAATGTAGCTCCAATCATCTTTGTAATGCAACAATCGCAATGCGATAGCTTACACAAAGCAAAAAATCCATTCTGACGGTGAAGAGTCGATTCATTCTTTGGTTCATGTAAGCACAATTGCCTCTTACAATCACGGCAATGGCTTCAGACCGCATTCAATTGAACGAAGATCAGTTCGTGGTCTTGGGATTTCGACACACTCAAATCTTCTCTCATAGTCATATTCAACAAAAATAAATTTTCAATACCCGTGATGATATATTACTCAATCAGCAAAATATTTATAAAAATAAACAATTCAACAGTTTATCAGAAACAAAATGATTTGTCCTTATAAATGACTAAAGTCTTGTAATTAAACCATCAAATCTGGCATCAAATACATAATAACAGCAATACTAAACAAATCCCAGAATGCACTCTTATCTAATAACCAAAATTCCAATTACAAAATCCACGAGTTCTTAAAAAACTAATGGATGCATAAACCTACTGCGAACAACTTTAATCACCTCCGGCCTTCTGATAAACGTAAGTTAACCCACACTTTCCACAGTAGTGTCTATCGAAATGGTTAGCCATAAAAGTCCCAGCCCCGCACTCCTGATTCGGGCACTCCTTCCTCAGCTTCTGAACCTTGCCCGAGTCATCAACCTTGTAGAACTGCAACAGAGAGAGCTTGACCTTCTTCTTCTTGTGCTTGATCTTCTTGGGTTTGGTGTAAGTTTTCTTCTTTCGCTTCTTCGCTCCTCCTCTGAGTCGGAGAACCAAGTGGAGAGTAGATTCCTTCTGGATATTGTAATCAGCTAGGGTGCGGCCGTCCTCGAGCTGCTTTCCCGCGAAGATAAGGCGTTGCTGATCGGGAGGTATGCCCTCTTTGTCTTGGATCTTCGTCTTCACATTGTCGATGGTGTCTGAGGATTCAACCTCAAGGGTTATGGTCTTCCCGGTTAGGGTTTTTACGAAGATCTGCATGGCTGCAGATCGGCGGAGACCAACAAAGGAGAAACAATCCCCAATCCGAAAGAAGGTATGGAAGATTGAAGTTGCTGGGAATTAAGAGGGCTTTTATACTACCTTCCTCTAGGGTTAGGGCTCTCGGCGACTCGGCCCGGTTCGGGCGTTACCCGCCAATGATAATTCATGTATTTCCGAGTCTACAACCAATATGTAGGTACAGGACTCCAGCGCCGTTGATGACTGGGGGATCCATCACAAAAGTGACGCTCCATATTCCATACGACTCGGTGACCTCACAGTGATACTGCTGCAAACGGATCGTATCCAAAATCTGATTCATTTTATATTGGGACCAGCGGGGAGCCGTGCGATGTCAATAATTTTATTTATTATTAAATTAATAATCATATTTTGTTATTACTTAACTAAAAGTATTCAAAGTTATTGTTAATATTTAAAATTTTAATAATTATATTTTTTATTTAATGTTGTTTTATAGAAAATAATTATTATTAATTTAATATAAACAAATATTTTTTAATAATTTTAGTTTAATTAATAATTTGTAGTAATTTTAATAATTGTTATTATTTTTAAACAAAATTTTGATTAACTTTAAATAAATAAAAATAATACAAAAGATAACATTTTATTAATTTCACTAATAATTAACAATTATATAGGAATGACAACGGAGTGAGTTCAAGGCAGGGCACCCCATCCTTGTCCATGCCCCATAGTCAAAACACTCTATTCCATTCTTGCCCCGTCCCTAGTCAGACAGGTTTAGGGCAAGGCAACCACTCCCCAATATCGGGCGAGTTTAGGGGCAAGGCAGCCCACCTCGTCTCTAGTATTGGATGGGTTCAAATAGAGGTGTAAATTGGGTTGTGTTGGACTGGCATAACACAACCCACATGTGGCCCGCACAAAGTGTGGGTCGTGCCATGTTGGCCCATAGGGCATCCTAGGGCATGCCTCCCTTCCTAGGATAATTCGGGGAGTCGGTTCGGCATGGCCCACAGCCCAAGCCCGTATGGGCTCGTGCCGTGTCATGGGTTGGGTTGGTCCATGGGCCAAGCCAGGCCGCGGACTAGGCCAAACTATGAGAGATCAATTTAAAAAATATATATTTGAAAAAAGATGTTTAAATTTTTATTTCATACGATTTTTTATGCATACAATTGTTCATATATACAAATAGACATATTCATGGGCCAGGTAGCCTGACGGCCCGACCCGGCTTGACCTGTTATTTTTCAGGCTTAGACAAATTTTCAGGCTCATGGGCTCGAGAACGAGCTTTCTCAAATAAGCCCAACCCAATACTATTACATACATAAAAAAGTACTTATGTTATATATATACTTCTTAAATTATTAATAAATATCAATTTACTATTAGAAAATATAAATTAGTTTATTGAATTATTGCTAAATTAATATAATATTAGTTTATAAAGTATACTGAAAAATAAGGCATTTTGTGTATAGATCGAGCTTCGTGCTTTATATAAAGGCTGGGCTTGGGCTCAAGATCTAGGCCCGATGGTCGGGCCAGGCTTAAGCTCGATTTTACACATTTTCTATTGATAAAGAGGCTCGTGTTAATTATAAAACTATGATTTTTTACAAATTAAATTTTTTATTTAATTCTAGCCTAGTATAAAAAATATATAACATTTCTATATATAATAAAATTTGTTATTTAAATATTATATTACCATATGCACATAACTTCCAAGTTCAGCTTATTAGGGGTTATTTAGCTTGGGCTCTATTTGCTAAAACCATCACTAGACTCCAAAAGTTAGACACCCAATAAGATTTCAACTATGATTACCCCTAATAATGTGCCAACATGGTGCATATCTCAGATTGACCTAATTCAAAAGAAATTAATTGCTTGAGCCTAAAAATTTATAAATCTAATAGTTGCTTAGGTTATAAACGATTTGTTACTTTTTATTAATTATTAAAATATTGTAATTATTAAATTATTGTATTTATTTAAAATACAGTAATTTCTAGAAATTATCATATTTTTAGAAATATTGATAATTTATTGGCTAAAACTAATTAAATGTAATTTTCTAGTAATTAAATGTAATTTTCTACTATTTATAGCATAAATTATAATTACAGTTTAAAAATAATTATTTTTAATTATATTACTATTAATAATTAAAATGCATTATTTTTTCATTATTATTCAGTATTTTTTGCAATAAAATACAACTAATTTAATTTTTTATTATTTTTGGTATTTTAATTAAGCTTTAGGTTTTTCAGAAATTTCGGATTTTTTTAATTAACTTTTTGTATTTTTTCAGCATTTATTTTTGCATATTAGTCACTATAATTAATTTGCATCTGCTTTCAGTAAAAATAAATCAAATAACTAAATAAATATCATAGTTAATAAAAAATACAGCTAATTTTCAATAATTTATGGCTTGGATATTTTTTTAATAACTTTTGGTAATTATTAATAAAAAAGTACTATTAGTTGTATTTTTTAACCATTTTTAGTAAATACCCTTATTAACATAAAATATTGTTAATTTTCAATATTTTTTAATTATTCTTTGTATTTTAATTATGTTTAGGTTTTTCAGAATTTTTCAGATTTTTAATTAATTGTTGGTATTTTTTCATTATTATTCAGTAATTTTTGCATATGAGTAATTTTGCAATAAAATACTATTACTAAAACATGTTCTATATTTTAAATTTTCATTAATTTTTATCACTTTTAATGAGTTCATTATGCACAATAAAGGTATCAACTCATCAGTTATCTAATAATATTATTAAAAGTTTAAAACTATCAATTAATATTTTTATATTTAAATTTCTTATTTTTATTAGTGTTTATTAAGTTCGATTTTTAAGTGGAATTGAAACACATTTTTAATACTATTAAATTTTCACGTGCTTTTGCACGTGGCAATTTTAGATGATGAAAATAGTAATATACATTCAAATTATTTTAAATTTTGTATATATTTCTATGTGTATAAAATAATTCTATATTAGAGGTGTCCCAAATGTTTTTTTCAAATATTTTGTATTTTTTGTCTTCTATTTCTCTAATTTTTATTATTTAACTATGGCAGCATGGCTTAACCCATTTAACTCAGATGGTTGACCTTACCCACTACCTAGACAAAAGGACAATTTCATTTTTTGGATCAACTTTGAAAAAAATGTGACTTACATTGTTAAAAGTATTGGATATAGATCTAATAACATAATTTACTGGTGAGAAAATATATTAAATATATCATTTAATGAGAGAGAATGGATGTTAGTACCTCAAATATATGACTTAATAAGAGGGATTTGAACGATGTGAAAAATAATAGTTCAAATTGCATTTTTATCCTCACAATTAAAAAGGAACTAAATTCAAATTACATTTTTTATATTTCCATGTGTATAAAAACAATCCTTATTTATGACACTTGTTTTTGTTTAATATGATGAATATACAATATTAGAGATGTGCCCAAATGTTTTTCTTTTTTGCAAAACTTATGCATTTTTTAAGTTTTTATCATGTTTTTTATTTTTATTATTTAATTATGATATCAAATATTAACACATTTGACCTAAAAGTTGAACTATTGACCTGGACCAAATAGGAAATAAATTTCACTTTTTGTTAGTTTTAAAATTTGTATTTCATTTGCATTACCAATGAAAACAATTTTTGTTTATGACACTTTTTTCTTTAATATGATTAATATAAAATATTAGAGAAATGACCCATTTTTTCTACATTTTTTATTTAACTATGACATCATGGATTCACCCAATGGCCCAGATGGTTGAATTGGCTTACCCACCACTTGGGTGGAAGAATGGTTCATTTTTTTTTTTTTAATTTGAAAAAAAGGTAAATTACTGAAACCTCCCATGAAGTTTCTAATCATTGCTGAAATCTCCCCTGAAGTTTTGTAATTACAATCGCCTCCCTCGAATTTTCTAATACAGTTGCAATAGACCCACCCTCTTAGAATCCTCTAACAATAGGCACACAAATGTCCAAAATACCCATGTAGTTATTATTGAAGCTAGTTTTTGCATAACAATACAAGCTTTAAACAACAAAAAAGTTTAAAATTGCAACTTTACCTTCGAGGGATTCATATGAAAGGAAAATTTATAAAATAAATCAATTTTGGAAAAGATTGGAAGGGTTTGGGGTAGTGATTGATATGAAGGAAAAACTTGAAAAATAAAAATTATAGTCAAAGTAACTAAATGGTTATTTTGGACATTTTCATGCATCTTGTTAGAGAATTATAAGAGGAAGGTTATACTTGCAACTATGTTAAAGCTCAAGAGGTGATTGCAATTACCAAACTTCAGGGGAAGTTTTAAGCAATGGTTAGAAACTTTAGGGGACGTTTTAGCATTTTACCGTTTAAAAACATGGTTTATTATTGTTAAAATTTATTTTTGTATTTGATAAAGATCCAATTATTAGAATTATTAGAATTATTAGATAAAAAACACCTTAAATACAAGATTTAATGTGAGAGAACGTGAGTTAATACCTTAAATAAAAGATATAATAAGAGGGAATTAAATAAGGTGAAAATTATAAATGATATTACATTATTAGCTCTTAGAATTAAAGAGGGACTAAATTCAAAAATAAGGGTATTTGTAAAGTTCCACACCTTCATTGGAACTTTTAATAGTATAAATAAATATACTATATGTACATCTGTATATATGTATGTATGTATGTATGTATGTGAAAATTTTAAATTACAATAAAAATTATTATTTATTAAACTTCGTATTCTATTTCCATCATAAATAAAAATTARCAATTATTTTTATTTGATATGATGAATATATAACATTAGAAATGTTCCCAAATGTTTTAGACAAAATTCTATACTATTTCATTTTTTGTGTTTTATCTTTTTTAATTATTTATTATTCAATTATGACACCATGAGCTAATTTAAAAAAGTTGGATAATTGACCTACTATCTAGGTAGGAAAATAGCTTTGCTTTTAGATCAATTTTAAATTATATATTTCATCTACATTATATAAATAATTTTTACTT